TATAAAAATTTTTAATTTAGAAATAATCTTTTAAATTAAACATTCTTATGAATATGAACGTACAAAAAGTGGAAAATACATTCTGGGACAGATGTAAAAATTTATATAAATATTTTATTAATATGTCTGCTTTAGAGATTAAAATAAATCTTTGTTTTTAAGTAGATATCCTTTCTTTGTTATAAATTGCTAATAATTAACTACCGTATTTGCTCTAGTAATCCCCCAGGGGGATTATTGTTTCAACCCATCTCTAGGGTGGGGGATTAATAGAGCCTGGGGGATTATTAGAGTGGGGTAGAAAGAGGGGGATTATTGTTTCAACCCATCTCCAGGGTGGGGGATTAATAGAGCCTGGGGGATTATTAGAGTGGGGTAGAAAGAGGGGAATTATTGTTTCAACCCATCTCTAGGGTGGGGGATTAATAGAGCCTGGGGGATTATTAGAGTGGGGTAGAAAGAGGGGGATTATTGTTTCAACCCATCTCCAGGGTGGGGGATTAATAGAGCCTGGGGGATTATTAGAGTGGGGTAGAAAGAGGGGGATTATTGTTTCAACCCATCTCTAGGGTGGGGGATTAATAGAGCCTGGGGGATTATTAGAGTGGGGTAGAAAGAGGGGGATTATTGTTTCAACCCATCTCCAGGGTGGGGGATTAATAGAGCCTGGGGGATTATTAGAGTGGGGTAGAAAGAGGGGGATTATTGTTTCAACCCATCTCTAGGGTGGGGGATTAATAGAGCCTGGGGGATTATTAGAGTGGGGTAGAAAGAGGGGGATTATTGTTTCAACCCATCTCCAGGGTGGGGGATTAATAGAGCCTGGGGGATTAATAAAGACTGGGGGATTAATAGAGCAAATACGGTAACTTTCAACACGTTTAAAATTAAAGCCCTCATCAACATCAACCCGCTGGTCAAGATATTGGAACCCCTGTTCATCAAGTAACCCATGGACATATAATACCTCAAGCTGATTATAATGAACGCAATCCAATTTATTTTCATCAACCCCAACATGGTAAATTAAAATTATTTTTTAAACTTTTATTTTATAAAATTTTATAGGAAGTCCTCCTGATTCGCTTTTCTATTATGACTTTCCCTATAACACAAACATTTCAAATGAAGATGAGAATGAGGATGACAAAGATGGGAAGTGAATTTGAGATTTTGTTGTTAGAGATGAAAAGAACACAGAAAAAGGGATATTTTTGGGAGTAAATCTTTTTAAAGTTTTTTTGGGAATTTTATTTTTTTTAATTTGGGAAATTTTAAAGTTAGAAATTTTAAAGAAAACATTTATACATTTTAAAACAATTATATATTTTATGATTTTTAGAATTGAGTAGAGATTGGACTTGAGAATCAATTGAGATTTAGAGATATGATTTCCAAATTTCAGTATTGATAACTGAAATTTTTGAAAGAAATCTATCCAGAGTCCAATCTCTAATTTACATTATATTTATTTTGTGTTTTAACATTATCTTTTGATAGACAAAAGTTATTAGTAGATAAAAGTCATTAAGATAATTTGGAAATTATATAGAAGTATTTAAATAGCTATATAATAATTAAATTAGATTAATATTAAGCGACATCAATCTAAAAGGAAAACAGGAACCAAAGGCTCAAAGCGATAAACTTTGTAATTTAAATTATTAAATTAGGTATATTTATCTCCTGAGTCAACTGAAATTCAAACTGAAATATAAATAAAAAGAATTAACCAATAAATTTTAATAGGTTAAAAACAGATAAAGTTCAGCCGAGGATGAAAATTTGGGATGATGGGGAAAAATTGAAAAATTTGGGAAAAAATTAAATTAAATACATTTGATTGAAATATGATTAATAGGAAAAAATTTTAAAAGATGTATTGAGGGTATAATTTTAATATATTTTTACAAATAAGAAAATTATAAAGTAAACTATGTGTGTAGTTCTCACTCTGTGTAATTCTCAAAGTTAAGTTTTTGAAACCTTTGAATGTTTGTCGCTCTTTTACTTTAGCCTTCTTTCTATATTTAGTAAAGTATAGGAAAATTAAGGTTGATAGACTTAATTTGAATATGATCAAGGAAATATTTAAAAGTTAGTTTAAGAGGATTATTTGAATATGTCTTGGGAAAAGTTAAAATTAGACAAAAAATAAAATATGAGAAAATTGTTTGCTAAATAATTTTAAAATTATTTCTCGTTTTAAACTATCTCATTAAATTAACTAGGTATCTACTTACGTATATAAATATAATTCTAAAAAATTTATTTTAAGTATCAAACTAAAAATTACCTTTTTTCTAAAGATATATTTGAATACCTAATCACCACACGAAGTTCAACTTGATGTCTTAAAATGTCTTGATTTCGATCAAATATTTTCATTTAAACAAACTAATTTTTATTTCAAAAATTTAATTAAGAAATATGAGGAGGGATTGGCGAGAAAGAAATTTAATGGACTCTTTATTGTACATGTTTAAATATTTGTTTTTATTTATTTCTTATTTTAGGATCACCCCATAAGATCAAAACCCTAGAGGACAAGACCCCAGAGATCAAGACCCTGAAGATCAAATGACTCCAGAGATCAAGACCCTGAAGATCAGATTACCCTAGAGATCAAATCCAAAATATCAACATTTAAAATTTTTTAAATGCAAAATGTATGAGTATTACAGTACGAGATCGTATAGGATATCTCAGGATTACAGGATTTTCAAATAAAAAATTTTTTTAATAGATATTGGGATATCAAGGGATTTGAAGTGATTTTTACATAAATAGATACTGGAGGTAAAGGAATTTGGGTGTTAAGTGGAGTAGAGGATTAAGGAGTTAAGTGGGCTATAAGTGGATTTGTTAGAATATTAGGGATTTGAAGGGATGTCGTGAGATTAAGAGTGATACTAGTTAATTAAGGGGATTTGGTTATCAGGGTGAACCTTTAAATCACTTGATATCCTTCAGATCACCAGATAGTCATTCGATCTGTAAGGAATGATCTGTAGGGTCTTGTACTCTAGGGTTTTGATCTTATGGGGGTGGACTCCTTATTTTAGGCTTATGCCAATACTTATGGTCTTCAGGAGCTAGAATTACATAAAATAATTGAACTAGAATCCGGACTTTTTGAATTTACTTTGACTGATCGACTCAAAGAAAAAGTTAAATAAAATTTAAATTAATTTATTAAAATCAATTTTTAGTGGAAAGCAGCGATAGCTGAATCAATTCCCTTGTATTTTCATGATTCTGATACTTGCAGAAACGTTATACTTACTAATATATTCAAAAAAGGTTATAAATATCTTTTTAAATCAAGTTTATTTATTTACTAGACAAAGAAAGACAACGCCTTTATACGTTGGAATTGCCGAACGTGCCAAAAAATATAGAAGAAATGATAATTATTCGATGTTGGATGGAGCACCTTATCAATTGTGCTTTTGAACGTGCAGCTTTTTTCAGAGTCGTATTTAATCCACAAATGATTAATTTATTATTCGATAACGACGAAACAATTCCTTTACAATTTCACATTCAAGACCCATATCTCATAACTGACAATAATACAATATTTGAACATTTTTGGAAATTTGCTTTCCATCATTCAATCATTCCAGAATCTCTTAGTTTTTGTTTTAATCAGTCAAATGTTTCAGAGCAACATATTAATATTTTATTCAATTTTTTAATAAATGAAGGCAATAAATTATCAGAAGTATATTTTTCATTTTATGGACCTCCACGACTATATGAGCTTATTGTTGAAGTAAACCGACTTTCCTTTTTAAATAAAAATTGCTTTTAACTTTTAGTATGTAGCAACATCTAAAGACTGTTCAAAGATGGTGGATTTTATTAGATTCAATTATTACAATGCCACAGGTTTACCATTAAGTGAGAGAGCAAAAATTGTTGAAATTGAACAACTCGATGATCAAAAATTAACAAAATACCAGATTGTCAATATTTACAATCAAAAAAAGATATTTTATTTTTGCAGTGTTAAAGGGAAAAATGGATTAAGTATTATGTTTTCCTCGAGAAATGTGGAAAAATGGAGTTAGAAAAATGGAGGAGAAAAATGGAGTTTTAAATTTATTACAAATTTATGCATATTTAAAAGCATAAAAAATTTAAATGTATATTTATTTAAATATTTTATTTTTATTTGTTTATTCATCAATTTTTTTTAAATTAAATATGATCGTTTTAACGTCCACCAGCGGGAGGGCCATAATAAGCATTTTGTCCTAATATAATTTTTAATTTAAAAATTAAAAAATAAACTTACTAGGCACCCAACCAGTAATTTTATCTAAAAATTCATTTAATTGTTGATAACTAGGTAAACGTCCATAAAATTCTCTTTTTACACGTTTTAGATTTTTAAGATGATTTAAATATTGTTCAATAAATTCTTTACGATTATTTGGGGATGTTTGTAAATTTTTATTATTTTTAGCATTTATTTGAATATAAATTAAGACAAAAACAAAAATAAATAAAATTAATTTATTTGACATTATTTAAATTTAGAGAAGGGGAATGAGGGAATGAGTTGGTAATAATTAATTTGAAATGCTTATTTAAATATAATTAAAATATTATTTGTGTGGTCTATTCAAGCATTTGTGTAAATTTCAAAAATTAAATTTTTTTAGGAATTTTCAGAAAAACGATAAGCTTTGAATTATTCTTTAATAAATTATCTAAAAATTTGTTCAGCTAGTCTATTTTTTAAATATCATAACAGCATCCACCTCAAATAAAATTAGATTATTTTTTGGTTATTCTAACTATTTATGGAAGGTTCTAAACTTTGAAAATTAAAAAAAATTCTAATTGAAAATTGGTCTAGATTATAATTATTTGCACAAATTAGCTAGCTAAAATGGACCACACAGAGAATAATTTGGAAATCTATTTAAATAAGCATATTTATTGGATAATTAACACAACCAATCCTCCACATCCATAATTAATTAAAAATGCTAAATAAATTATTTTTCCTCAATTTAATTTTTGTTTTAATTTTTTGTACAATAATTAAAGCAAATGAAGAGGAATTAAAGAATCCTCCTCAAGAATCGGAAGAAGATCCTTCCATTATTTTCGAAAAATATTTAAATCATCTTAAAAATCCAAAACGTGTAAAAAGAGAATTTTATGGAAGTTTACCTAGTTATCAACAATTGAATCAATTTTTAGATGGAATTACTGGTTGGGTGCCTAGTAAGTTTATTTTTTAATTTTTAAATTAAAAATTATTTTAGGACAAAATACTTATTACGGTCCTCCCGCTGGTGGTCGTTAAAATTATCAAGTTGGGTTTAAAGAAAGAACAATTGATGTGATAAACAATTAAATAACAAACAAAAACAATGAAATTAAAAAAATTTATTAAAAAATAATTGGACTGACTTACATTATTTCAAACATTTAATAATTACAGCTAAAATAAAAATATAAATAAAAATAAAATATAAAGGGTTTCGTAAAGATAAACTTGATTTAAGAATATTCGCCATAAAATTATTTACATTTTTTGGCATTTTGTTCAGGAAATAAATAAATGACATTAGATCCCAATTACGTGTTTTCTCAAAAGTTTGTTTGGGGATTCTTTTGTTTTGATTTTTGAGAAAATTTTCATCCATCTACTGATATAACAAATATAAAGATGTAACAAATACTTATAACAAATGTATAACAAATGTTAATTTCCTGAGTAAACTTTATTGCATTAAAAAAATTACCAAGAAAATGTTGAGTATCAACTAGTGTTCGGCAAATGGGGATTTTCGGTAATCGGTAATACTGAAATTTAACGTTACCAAAGTTTACTGATTTTTCCAACGTTTGATCGGTAAGATGACGGTAATGCAATACTGAAAATTACCGTTCTGTATCGCTGAGAATTACCACGGTATTACATACCGTATCGTACCATGCCGAACACTAGAATGTACGAACAAATAAAAATTATTTACAAAAATTTATTTGTGAATTAATTATCTAATTCTATTCTTAATAAATCTAGAGCACATTCAATTCCATATTGTATCCAAGAAATGGCAAGACTAATTTGTTGTAATTCCAATTTTGCTTCGAAATGATTGTTAGAATTAATTGCACGTTTCCACCTTATTACAGAATCGAGCATAAAAGGAAATGGATACTGAAAATATTTGTGAATTACAGAAATTCTCATTAAGTCTTATATTAGTTTGTTGTACCATTGAGGTCAAAAAATTAACGATTGACCGCTCCTATCAGACACAGCTTTTTAGAGACTGATCGTATCGGTCGGCCCTTTGGGAACAAAAATCTCAGATCTTTCGATTTATAGTATAGGAAATACAAAAAAGTTAAATTTCAGAAATCACAATGGCAGATAATCATTAGTTTATCAATGACAAGACTTAAGCATTTGTTAAAGTGTTATGAGCTGTTAAATGCGAGCAATTATTAAATTAAGGGATGTACTAGAAAATTATTTTTGATTTTATTTAAAATTAATAACCCCGGAATTTTCTTCTTTGACAGGTGCAGAAAATATAGAATGCCGTCTGTTTTCCCCATTTTCATCAATTTTGTCAACATTTGTAATTAAAAAACAACGTTCTAATAAAAGCAGTCGTTGATTAATTTGTTCACGTTTAATTAATGAAATTGGCATTTTTCCATTATTTACAGCCTTTTTAATAAAAATAAATTAAAAATATTTAAAAAATATTTTTTAAATATACATTAATAAATTGTTGAAAAGGAATTGATAATTTATGAAATCTTCCCAAAGATTCTTGTAGTAACTCAAGTTTTGTATTGTTGATGAATTTTGTCACACCTTCCAATCTATAATTATTTATTTATATAAAATCTTCTTCAGAAATAAGCACAGATTAATTGTATTAAATATTGGTTATTCAAAACAACCGTTAAAATAAATGTTAAAGCATTTCAAAAATTTTAAAGAAAACTTTAAATATTTATAAAATCAGAAACTTAATAGCGTTGATTAGTGATCGGAATTTTGTACCGTACCGTTTTCCGTGCCGTACTACCGATACGGAATACCGATAAATACCGAAAAAAACGGCCGTAGTATGTACGATACGGTCCGATCACTAATGTTGATATTTTAGGATCTAGCCGTACAAATATTTTTCAGACTAAATAAGCTGTTTCTGACTCGTTATTTCAAAACTAGTTGAATCATTTCAGTAGCCCTACTTTTAAAAATTTTCTCTTTCAATAGAAATATTGAGGCTTTCCTATCGCCTACTTATTCAAAATTACAAACTTCATTTGTGCATTAGCCCTTGCCAAAAATTCATATAATGCTAGACAATAATCTTCAATGTTAAATGGAACTAACTAATAAAAATAATTTCTTTAATAATTTAAAAAATATCTATTTACAATATTATCTGATAATTGTTTAACAATTTCTAACCAAAATTGCCCAAGAGCAACAGAAGTTAAACCTTTGGTATCCAAAAAATTTTCATTTAGCCAGGGGACTAAAAATTAGATATTTATTTAGTACAGTTAAACCTCACTTAAAGATACACCCTTAGGGGTTGAAAAAGATAACGAGGGGTACAGTAAATTGGAAGTCTTCTTCTACCTGATGGCCAACCAAATTTATTTTAAATCTACTATGGATGTGTACCCTATTTTTAGTAAGATTGACTGTAATTAAGCTTAATTACTTTCATATGCAGTGTGATATAACATAAATGAATAGGGCACATTCTCCATTCTGATGTCAACTACGGGAATACCAGCAAGTGAGATAAATGATTGAAAGTCTGATCCAGAATGTGGAAGTTGAATAAATGGGAGCGATCTTATAAAATATAAATTTATGTTGGATTTATAAATCATTATCAGATTTTATATTTATAATTACCCCTTTACTTTATAATTACTCCTCTTTATTAGTCTTTCCAAAATTAAATAATTTATTTTTATTTAAATTAAAAATATATCCACACAACCTATCCCCATTAAGAGATGAACGTGTATTGTGAAAACGCCAGGAATCAAAAAGTGTATATCTTCCATTATTAATTTCAGATTCTGATGGATGTTTAATCCTTTAAAATATTTTTTTTAATTTTTAAAAAAATTAGAAAAATTGCCTAGAAGCCACATCCACAATTAATCTATATAGAAGGGGCACAGCCTTTATATTAAGTGTCATATTTCCATTAAAATTATCCAAATTAATATAAGCGACAGCTCTTTGTTTTAATTGAAGCAAATTTTGTTCTACCCATTCTGTTGACCCAATAAGGCCAAATTCTGATTTTTAAAAATTATTTTTCTCTTAATTATTTAAATACCCTCAGCATCCCATTGACAAAAAATTATTGTCCTTCTTGGTCTCCAACCAGTTTCTTTTGAATAAATACTCAAAACCCGAGCCATTTCCAACATTATAGACGTCCCCGTTCCTGGATCAATACTTCCCTAAAAATAATTTCTATGTTTGAAATTTAGCTAGGAACCAGGGCTGGGCGAACTCAAAAAATAAAAAGCGAAATGCGGAATGCGAAACCTTTTAAAAAAATAAAAAGCGAAATGCGGAATGCGAAACTTTTCGCGCCAAAAAATGCGAAAGATGCGAAACGCGAAAATGCGAAATTAGTTAAAAAATTTTAGAAAAATTTTGGAATTAGTATAGTATACCGGAGGCAAAATTTCGATAAGAAACACTACCATTCGATTTGTCTCGGCGAGCTGAGCCGAACGATACCACTCTCTATTCACGGAACTCCCTGTCAACCGAGATAACTGTCCGCGAATATCGAAAAACCATAGGGGGCATTGAAGGTTCGGGGCATTGCAGGTTCCGATTCGAGTTCGATCGGGGTCATTATTTTAAATCCCGATACCGATTTTGACCAATCCTGACCCGTAGTCAGGACCGGGTTAGGGGTTGTTATTCAAAAATTCCGATCCCGATTTGGGTCGGGATCCCGATCCCGCTCAACTCTATTTCAGGGTTTCGATCTCGAATTTTTAAAAATCCGCAAATTTGATCGAAAAAATCCGCATTTTATATCAAAAATCCGCAAAAAATTATCAAACACAAAAATTGAATCAAAATCACTTTATGAATTATATTTTTCGTCTTCTACAATTGAATTAAGCAATTTTTTTTATTACTAATGATCATCTATGAAAATCCGACAATTATCTGAAAAATTACACTTGCATTTTTGTCGCGGAAGATGTTGTAAATGTTTCTTCCTTTTTCTGCGCCGCAGGCAAAAATTTTGAGAATTTTGGAAGACCAAGAAGCCATATTTCTTCCATTTTTAGCGCCGCAGGCGAAAATTTTGAGGATTTTGGAAGGTCTTAGCAGAAAAATAATGACATTTTATGCTAAAACCACAAGAAAATATAAAAAATCCTCATAATATTCAAAAGACCACAAAAATCCGCAAATCCGCATTTTTAAAAATAATCCTCATCGCCTTACCAAAAAACCACAAAATGAGGAAAAATCCGCAGATATCGAAACCCTGACTCTATTTAGAATAGTGAAAACTGCTTGTACTCAATTTCCATTTTTTGCGCCACAGGCAAAAATTCGCCACAGGCAAAAATTTTATTTTAATTTTATTTTTAAAAAAATTTTATTTTAAAAAAATTAAAAAAAATGCGCCACAGGCAAAAATTTTATTTTCTGCGCAGCAGGCGAAAATTTTGGAAAATTCATTACTAAATTAAAATTTTTAATGTTTTTCAGGTTTGACATATTAAAAAAATAAATTTACAAATTTAAAATCAAAATCAGAATTTATAAATTTTTATTTTGGAAGGAAAAATTATTTATTTCCAAACCCTGGATTCGAACCCAGCCCCAAAAAACACAAAAGAAAGCAAAGTTAGTCAACTTAACCACTCCACCATCGACCAAATGAAAAAAAATTTGATAATTTTTCTATATTTCTTTCCCTTTTCCTTTAAAAATTTAATGTAAAAATATCTAAAAAAATAAAATACTAAATCAAAAAGGCGAAACAAATTTCGCATTTGGACCAAAAAGCGAAATGCGGAATGCGAAACTTTTTGCGCCAAAAAATGTGGAAAATGCGAAAGATGCGAAACGCGAAAATGCGAAATCGCCCAGCCCTGCTAGGAACCGTTCAAATACTTGATCGAGTCGAGTTTTTGGGGTTTACTGTTAATCTTTAAATAAAACTCGATCAGCCCATTTGACCGGTTCTGACTATAATTAAAAACACCTTAGACCAAGCATCTGCATGGTTCCCCAACAAAACCCATTTATCAGGCTCTTCACTTCCTTCGATTTTAGCTATAAAATTTTTAATTGGGCGGTGTACATTTTTAGTTTTAACATCCATTCTGAAGAGATTATTTCCAGTTAAACGATAAGTAACTGGAAGAGCTCCTGACCAACGAGACCACTAAAAAATAATTTGTTAATGGAATACCTTATCTTAAAAAATTCAAAATTTAATTACAATAGCCGGTTCTCCATCCATTCTTTCAAAAATTCTTTGAGCATCATGATATCCAATACAAGTTACTGGGATATTTGGAAGTATTCCCGTTAATCTTAATTGTTTTTCAGTAAATTCACGATGGACATAATCAAGTGAAGGAAGAAGGGGTGTCTTTAATTTAATAATTTTAAAATAATTATTTTGGGTTTTATTTTGTTAATTTGATTAATTTATACCTCAGGGTCACCAATTCCTCGATATAATGTCCCTCTTTGACTTCCTATATATTATCAACATTTTTGGAGTTTTTAAAATTTTTTAATAACCTGAAGGAGGCAGCCATACAGCATTGGGAAATGTCTATAAAGTTACATATAGAATTAGGTATTGTTATCGGAATTATATGTAAATGAGGACCCAGGAAATGAGAGATTCTTTAATAATGTCCAACACCACACGTTAATGTTCGGCCCGCTAAAACAATTTATCAAACTCTATATTTACTTAAACCCGTGTGAACTAAGTTTTCAAATGATCCCTAGCGTGATTCAGAATTATCCGAAATGGGAATACTCAATTATGTATTAAATCTTTGGGAAAAATGTGAGAGTGACATACAAGACATACAAATGAGGGCCGACATTATTTTAATTAATTTTTGTATTCAATCACTAATAATTTTTAAAAAATTTGCCTCATTTCCAAGTACATAATCAATCGGATCAGAATATAATATAACACCAACAGCTCCTCTTTTCTCAGCATTAAGTACTTTATCTCCTCGGAAAATCCCACCATAACGAATTAAAACAATTTTTCCAGATATTGAAATATTTGACTTTAAAAAATAATTTTGTGACTTGATTTCAAGTTTAATATAAATTTCTTTCACACCTTTTTTAACAATTCAAAATCATCATTAGTCCCATAATTGGCGTAAACTAAATTGCTAAGTGCCGTACCATTAAGAGAATAAGCATTCCACCATAAATGCTAAAAAAATTTTTATTTGTTTTTCTAGAATAGAATTAGGGTGCCAGATCGCTCGACTCGAGCTTCGAAAAAACTGCTCTAATCGAAATAAAATAAAATTCTCAATTAACGGCCCACTTAACATGGCTCAATTAAATCAAGCTTAAAAACGTCATCTTTACAATAAAAAGCTTGATTCAAGCTTAAAACCCTAATTATAATGTTAACAAACAATTCTTGGATCATCTTCTAATTGTTGTTTTAATTCATTGTCCATAGTTGTGTTTAATGGCAATCTGCCAACACCACTAGAAATTAATTCCCAACGAAAATATCGGTCGCTCCATGCATGAATCTTTAAATAAAATTTTAAGGCTGTGATGGTGGGTAATGCTGGTTGGTTGTAGAAATTATTCTTTAATTTGTGTACCCAACAATGGTTGGGTAAAATAAAATTTTTTTTAGTCTTTTTATGGAATTAACAGGTCTATAAAATTTAATTTAATAATTACATACAGTATTAGGTGAAGAATAATCTGGAGTACTTAATAAAACACTCGGGTATTCAAAGTCTTGTACATTAAAGCCAAAAGATTTGTACTAAAAATAATTTAATAATGCATAAAAATTATTTTAAAATTATTTTTAATTTTCAAATAAACACTTTTTCCGAAAGTGTATTCATTAAATTCAATTGTTCTTCAGTACCGGCAACGTGCATATTAGAGGATATCCATTTTAGACTTTCTATTATTTTTGTTCCATTAAACAATTCCATTAATTTTGAGCTAGTCTCATTATTCTATAAAATACAGTTTTTATATTTTTATTATTTAATAATTTTAGATCCCGAGTGACAATCAGTGTTTAAAATTTCGAAAATTGCTCGTACTCGTACTTGCCTATTTTTTTCTCGTACTCTACACAGGTACGAGTAGGGTTGTCGGTTCTGGACCGAACCGACCCGACCCTTAAGAACCGAGGATTTTTCGGCTCGGTTCTTCGGGTCGGTTTCTCGGTTCGGTTTCTTATATCCGAAGAATTTCCTGGAACCGACAACCCTAGGTACGAGTACGAATTTTGGTACGAGCTTCCAAACACTAATGACGATTTAACTTCAAAACTTCACCTTCTCAACATTCTCTCTAAGTAATCTCTTATAAGGAGGTAAAGTATCAGATTGTTGTAAATTTATTTCAATTTGTTGTTTAGCTATTAGAATAACAGAATAAGCCAACAAAATAATTGAAAGAAGTAAAAGTGAAATAATAATAAATGGAAAATAATAATTTGTATTTTTATTTAAAGATTTTTGTTGTTTTTTCCTTTTTCTTGTTTTAAATGATTTTGTTGGGAATGAATTATTTTTATTTAATTTTACTGAAAAAATTATTTTTAATTTACAAATTTTTAATTTAAAAATACATTTTTTGTGAGAAGAATTTTTTAAAGGCCATAATGAAGTTGAGTTGGTTGTTGAGGTTGAATAACGAGTTTTTTGTTCGATTCGAAAAATAGAACCGTTAGATAATGATGAAAATGAAGGTTTTTGTTTGTCTGGTAAAATAATAATTTTTATTAAAGTATCTAGAAGAGACTGAAATGCTTAATGAGAGGACCGAAAGATTATGTTCCAATGATTTTTGGGTAGGGATCGGGAACTTATCCTTTTCAAGACGGATCTGGATATTTTTGAACCGGGAATTTTCCGTTTTTCCATTTCAGAACTTGTCGGTTTTCTTGAATTTCCTGTCCTTGGCCTGTGTTTTTAATTCAAAATTCCTATCTATATTTAATTCGAAAATGATGTTGAATAAAATGAACCAAAACTTCAATTAATTTAATTATTTTTACTTAATAATATTGTCAAAGGTTTAAAAAAATTAATTAATTATTTTATTTTGTTAAAAATACTTTTATGAAAATAAATATGAGGACTAGATTGTTGAAATCGACGGTTCCATTCAATAAGTGAATTTGTAGACGAGTCATTTGACTGTATTCCACTTCCATCTACTCCACTAATATCCTCATCCACATCGTTGTCATAAATTTCTTTAAATTTTAAATTTAAATTCCCTTTGCCTACTCTCCAAAAATTCTCTCCTATGCCCTCGGAGAGGATTTTTTCGGATATAGTGTAGTGTACCGGTGGTAAAAGTTTGGGACGTGACATATGTCATTCGATTCGTCTCGGCGAGCTGAGTCGAACGGTACCACTCCCTACTTTAGGAAATGATTCTGGACCGAGTTATAGGTCCCGAAAAATTGAAAAACCAAAGGGGGGACCAAGCACTTTTTGGGGGTGAAAAATTCGAATATGCAAATAATAGCTCATTTGAAAGAGCTCATCGAGCTGAGTCGAATGACACCAAAATCAACTTGATTGAACAAAATTAGACAAAGTTACGACACAAAAACAAACAACGTATACCTATAGGGCGTCGGCGAGGCGCTTGTGCAAAACTCCGCGCTTCGCGCGGAGTTTTGCGGCACGCGCCTCGCGGGGAGTCTACGGGCGCTGGGTCTGGGTTCGTAATATAAACCTATTCATATTTCCCTTGCTCTAGACGTAACTGGGGCCTCCGTATCAGCAAAAACCTCCATGGACACCATAGGTAAGGAGCTAAAGCAAACGAGCATAACTTTGTCAAATCAAGTCGGATTTCGATGATTTTGGTGTCATTCGACTCAGCTCGATGAGCTCTTTCAAATGAGCTATTATTTGCATATTCGAATTTTTCACCGCAAAAAAGTGCTTGGTCCCCCCTTTGGTTTTTCAATTTTTCGGGACCTATAACTCGGTCCAGAATCATTTCCTAAAGTAGGGAGTGGTACCGTTCGACTCAGCTCGCCGAGACGAATCGAATGACATATGTCACGTCCCGAACTTTTACCACCGGTACACTACACTACAGCCATTTTTTCTCTGAGGCTCTCAATATTAAACAAAATAATTTCATCAAATTTCAATTTCCTCACCATTAGAAATTAAAGAATATTTTCTTTTATTTTTGTCCTCATTCTCATTAAAAAGATATTGAGTATCTAGAAGACGCTGGGTAAAGTCTCTAAGAAAAAATAATTATTTAATTATTTGTAATTAAAATTTTATTAAAATACTTAATAGGATCAACAGGAAAATTTGAAGTTAATTTATCACAATTATTTGTATTAATTTTGTTGTGATTTAAATTATTTTTATTACAATAACAACATTGTTGTTTTTTGTTCATATGAAATTAATTTTAGAAATTATTTTTATATAATATAATCTACAAATAGATATATTGGAGGAAAAGGTTATTAAAATTAAGCCTAAGTATTTCGATAAAAAATTTTTTTATTTAAATATTAAGTAAAAAATCTTATCATTCTTTAAAGGAATTTTCTCAAAATTTAAAATTTTAATTTAAGATGGCTTCTTTAACATTTGATAAAATGTAGGGAAGTAATTCAAATAATTTTCTTGAAAGCAGTTAGTATCAGGGATATTGCAAACCGATTTTTAAAGCCCGAAGACGGAAGGGATCTACTAAAATTGAAAAATGCTGAAATATAAAAATGGAAATCCGAAAACTTGAAAAAAGGTCGGAAATTCGGTGAAAATAGAAAAAATTACATTTTGTATGTATTTCTTATTAAAAAATTAAATAGCTTAATTATTAGAGTTAAAATAAAAAATAATTAATCATTGTACATTTGTTGCAATTTATTTAGAATTAAATAGCAAAAGAGGTTTCAGCAAATATTAATAATGTAATTAATCATTTATAAATAATATAATAAATTGAGAAAAAAATTTTATTGGGAGAAAGTGTTTCTTAGCTTTTTTATTTTATTAATTAATTAAAAATTTAGCTAAAACGATTATTTAAAATTTACGAAAATTTTAAATTATTAGTGAAAAATTTATGTTATCAATTCTTCCGGTTTCTACTTCCTTAAATTTCAAAATGTGAAAAAGGCCTTCCTGATAGGTATAAATTTAAGGTCTAATTATTTTTTTAGATCGTTAACTATCCTCCCTCACCCCAATCAGTGACCAGCTAAATTTAAAAAAGTAAATTTAATTGGACCTAGTAGTGAAAGTATCTTATAGTAGTGGCGATTTAATTTATGAAAAGATTATAAAAAATTTAGTAATTTTTATTCATGATTTTATTTTAACTTAAAAATTCAAAAATTAATTTTTCTGGAATTCCAAAAACAAATTTTAAAAAATCAATTTTCTCGCTTCAATAATTTTTAACAAAAAATACTAAAAAAGAGTAAATTTGCAGAAATAAATAGCAAACTAGTAAGCAAAAATCTGCAAAAGAAAATATTTAAAAAATATTTATTTTCAAAAAATAAAATTTTTTTACTTAAAGCTTCCGCTAGACTTTACAAAAAAAATTTAAAAAATTAATTCGGCAAAGTCTGAGTTTTAATTAAAATGAAATTCTTTTTAAAAGGAAATTAGAGAAAAAATTATAAAAAGAATAATTTAGAAAAATAAAGAAAATCCTTCAAAACAAATCTTTAATTTAAAAATAAAAAGAGGAGGAAAGGCTAATTATGAATTTTGTAAAAACAATTTTTATTTAAAAATAAAGAAAATAAATTTTATTTTGAAAATATGTATGGCAAATAATTAAATTAATTAATTTTTAAATATTATTTGATTCAAAATTAGCAGGGATCTAGCCGACCCGAGTCTCGAAATCGTGATTTAATTTTTATGTCGGCTAAATCTCTGATAAGTATTGAGCGCTCTTTAATGTAAATACAACTATAACAAATCAAAGCTCTCTAATCACACATCGGGACCAGGGTGTCCCTTTCCAAAACACCAAAATAGGGCGAAGCTACTCAAAAATATGGCAAAAATAGGGCGAAATTGGTCAAAAATAGGGCAAAAAATAGGGCATTGTTTTAAACACTTAAGAATACTTAAAATTTTAAAAAGAAAGCTCTATTATGCATATTTTTTAATATTTTAAACTAAATTTTCAATTAAAAATTTCTTTATCATTAAATATCAACTTGTGACTAATCTATTTTATTGGGGATATCCTCTTTAATCCCAGAATACCGTTAATTGAATTACCCTTAAGAAAGCAAATATCACAGATAATTCAAACATGATATCCCCTAAAACGTACCATCGATTCACGACCAAAACCCCAAATCCCCGTACCATAATCGAAGAATTCTTCCAATTTTCAGCGCCGCAGGCGAAAATTTTATAAAATTTGGAGCTCAAGAAGCCAAATTTCATACATTTTTTGCGCCGCAGGCGAAAATTTTGAGAATTTTGGAGGCCAGGAAGTCAGAAATCCTTCATTTTTACCATTTTTTTTTCAAAATCCGAAGAATTTTTAAAATTTTACTAGATGATAAAAATAGGGCAAAAATATGGCAAATGAGAAAATAGGGAAAAAATAGGGCGAAATTGTCAAAAATAGGGCAAATGCCCTGTAAATAAGGCAAAAGGGACACCCTGATCGGGACCGAAGTTAGGAGAGTGAACTTGAAGGAGATCAAAGAGATTTCTATGTATATTTGAACCCAAAGGTCAATTCTAAAGAAGGGAAGAAGGGTTCTAATTGATAGTCAAGGCAAAAAATCTACAATAAAGGATCAAAAAGTTCAAAAAACCATCCACATTTTTTAAATATCCTAAAATGTAGTATCTTAAATAGAGATTCTAATAAAAATAAATTTTCTAGGCAGGAAAAATAGTGTTTTAGTTGATAAAAAAAGGTTCTGGCCAATGAAAAAATATATAAAGAGGTGTCTTGAGGTATTATTATAAAAATTAATATAAAAAGTTCCGCATTTAAACTATCCTTTACTGAATCAAGCAAAAATAAAATTAATAAAAAACAATTGTCTAAATTTTATTTTTTGCAATTGTAATTTGATATAACCAAAAACAAAATTTTTTTGGTTGTAGAAAAGTAAAAAATAGTAAATTAAGTTTAAACTCGTTATAAGGATCAGGCTTTTGGTCAAAAAATTTCTTTTCTTTTTTTGAGTGATTTAATATCCTCGCTCAATATTTTCTTCATTTATTACATTTAAAAAAGAATTTTTTGATTATTTATTGTTTTGATTGATGGAAATATTTTGTATGTACTAAAGGAAAAAACAAATAGGTATATATTTGTAGATACATCCACAAATGTTTTAAAAGAAAGAAAGAAAAAAGGAAAGAAAAATACCGCAAAATAAAAAAACATTAATTGGGAATCGAGATTTAATTAAATATTAAAACTTTTATTTTTTCAACTTTCGAAATTTTAAAAATCTCGTGAAAATAATTTTGAGTGAAAATTTTCTTTTTCAAAAATTTAATTTTGTGTCGCTAGAAAGGAGGGATTATGGTTTACTTTGTGGATAGTCAGCGAGCTGAACATTTATTTTATTTTGTGATAAAGTTTAGTCAAAAATCCCTTGAAAATAAATTTAAGTCAGAATTTTGACTAAACTTTATCACAAAATTAGATTAATGTTCAGGTCGCTGTCCACAAAGTAAACCAGAATCCCCCTCCTTTTTAGCGACACAAAATTAAATTTTTTAAAAGGTTAGCAATCGAAAATATCACAAAAAAAGGTGATAGTGAGTTAAAAAACAAATTTTGTTGGACATAACTATGATTTTGTTGCTATTACTTTTAAATGCCGTTAACAAAATCAGTTATTAGTAGGGCTCGGATTCGTATTGAAATACATATAATTTTCCGAAATATATTTTGGCGAGAGAAGCCCAAATAAGCCATTAGTTTTTCGATATTATGATGTTGAACGAAGATACATTTTAATATATTTCAATATTTTGACAATTTTCCAGTTATTTCAATATTTTATAACCATATTTTCCTATTTCATTTGAATATAAATCCGAGCCCTAGTTATTATTATTAGCAAAAAGTTTAATTAAAAATAAAATAAAGTTAAAAAAAATTTCTTCCACTCATTTTTGAGGACTTAAAGGTCACATTTTATTGTTTTTTTATTCCTCTTTCTTTCAGAACTAAAAAATAAAAATAGGCATTGTTGCATTTTAGTATAAATAAATAGTAGTGGTTTTTACTAAATTCTCAAAAGAATTGGTCATATTTTTTGCCTTTTATTAAGAGAATTTTACTTTTAGAGAAAGATTTTCATAGAAAAAATATAAAAAATATC